TGTTTTTTAAAAAATCTAATTGCTTTTAGGGGGGCATCCTGTATTCTCCAGTTCTCCACAGCACTGCCCCATGTCTGCCTAGCTTGTTCACTATCCCATGTAGGCATCTGAGATCTGAGTTTGCAGCCTCCAATTTAATAAATAAGTCCTGAGGCTAGGCTATCAACAATGGATTATGGGCATAGATTATGAAAGATCATGCTCAAGTTTCCCTTTTCATAGACTAGTACCCAGCCCAATTTAAGAAATATCAACCAAGACCCAACTCAAGCATAATAAAGCATTTCCCATACACTGTCTTCACCTTCCCTCCAAAGACCTTCTAGAAATTTTTGTTGAGGATCCATAATTTAATTCCTGTACTATCCTGTCCAATTATTAAACTTAGTACAGGACCTTCTCCATTTTCTCCCTTTTTCTTCAGAATGTTTAGAGAAGAGATCTAGCTACTCTGTGTGCATGGGTAAGGGGAGGAAAAAGTGGAGGGGAGGCACAGAGAGGTGATGCTGAAAATGATGGAGCCAGTGGAAGGAAGATGATCGTATTAAAACTAAAGTGTCCTAATTTCCATAAGGCTGGCCAGAATCAAATCATTCTGGACATAATTGAAGAATATTGTAGAAAGAAAGGCATTTAGAGGTTTATAATCTAATCTAAGCCCTTTTATCCTTACAGATAAGGGTAAGCCTCCTTATACAAGGTCACAAAGCTAACCAATACTGTTTGTACTACTCCATCATGTTCCCTCTTTCTGGCCTAGTTCTATTTTCCAAACAATGGGAGCTGTGATCAACTGTGTCACTTCTACTAATAGTTCCTAAAAATGTTTAATTACAATCTGTAACTATATTATTTCATCTAATTTATGGAAGATTACATTCAGATCTTGTTCTTAAATTTTTTGACAAATTCAAGACAGAGATTTTTTGCTATTTGTTAGCTTAGTAAAAATAAAAGTAATTGAGTTGGTAGTGTGGGTGGGGGAGGGCAAGTAAAACAAAATATTTTATTACATTTCATCTAGCAGTCTTAATCATCAGGTTAACTTTCAGGAGGACTTGGTATTAAAGCATACATTTATTAATTTAGTTGACCCATAATGTAACATAATAGCTATCTACTCTTTCAGCTGGGACAATGTTTGCCAAACTGCTGTCATTTCACATACCACCTCTACAAATTTGGCTTGCCATATCACATACCACCCATACTAATATAATTATATTCATCTTTATATTGATTTAAAATTCACTCCTTTTTTATACTTTGCCTGCTCTAAGCAATAACATCCATTAAATCAAAAGCTTGATGTGTTAGTTTTTCTAATACACAATAAAATAATTATATAACTATTAAACTATGCCCATGGACATACCATCTAAACTCATCTCCTGTGATACCAGTGATATTCTTACTACGTCTTAGATGATCGGACCCTGCACTGACTGACAATTTATGGTATGAGTAAATAATAAAATAACTGTTCAACATCTAACATGAGTTGCTAATTATTCTGATTTGTAGGAATGTACCAGAAACGCATGGTCCTAGCACCAATTTCAACAGATATAAACCTAAGAAACCTAGGTTTTCAGATTTTATTGTACATAAGAAATATATGAGGTTGGTTGCCTCCCCCAGAGATTCTGAGTCACTAAGTCTGGGATGGGGCCCAGACTTAATTTTTACAGGCATTCCAGGGAGTGCTGTTGCAAGAAGACCACATTTTGAAAAATAGTGGATGGGGGTAGGAGGAGTGGGAAAAAATTTAAAAAACACTCTAACTTTTCGATAGGATGACTTGGGTTTAAATCCCAACTCTAGCTGTGTGATCCTAAGCAAATCACTTAACCTCTCTAGGCCCCAGTTTCCTCATCTGTTAAATGATCATTATAATAATAGCTACCTCATTGCAGGTTTTTTGTTTTCTTTTTAATAGACAGGGTCTTGCTATGTTGCCCAGGCTAGAATACAGTGGCTTTTTATAAGCATGATCATAGTACACTACAGCATCAAACTCCTGGACTCAAGCAATCCTCCTGCCTCAGTCTCCTGAGTAGCTGGGGACTAAAGGCTTATGCCACTGTACCCAGCTTCACTGAGTTATTTTAAGGCTTAAATGGATGACATGTCAAAAAGTATTATAAAACCTTAGAGCCCTATATGTGCTAGAACAGGGGTCCTCAAACTTTTTAAACAGGGGGCCAGTTCACTGTTCCTCAGACCGTTGGAGGGCCGGACTATAGTTTAAAAAAAACTATGAACAAATTCCTATGCACACTGCACATATCTTATTTTGAAGTAAAAAACAAATGGGCAAAAACACCTGCATGTGGCCCACGGGCTGTAGTTTGAGGACACCTGTGCTAGAGGGTTGATGACAATGATGATGATGATCATATAGAACCATTCTCAGCAGCCTACAACTCAGAAGACAATCAGCATATCAAATAAGATGCAAGTGCACTCTTCATATAAACATCTGCTCCCATTTAATTACTGATATTGAGTTTAATCTATAATAAATTAGCTCCCAAATTAAGTGTATATTTCAAATAAGATATTTACACAATAGATAATTTCAAATATTACTGACTGTTGACTGAAACTTAAATCTTCAAGGAACTTTATCTGGATCTCCAGGGTTAACTCCAAGCCAGAAGAGTCCCAAAGACCCATCTTGGTTACCCTGATTTTAAGAATTACTTTATAAGTAGCATGTACAATTAATTATCCTTGTGGTTTAGAAATATTTTATGCTTTTTAAAATTTAATTTAATTTTATTTTATTTTTTGAGACAGAGTGTCGCTTTGTTGCCCAGGCTACAGTGAGTGCCGTGACGTCAGCCTAGCTCACAGCAACCTCAAACTCCTGGGTTCAAGCGATCCTCCTGCCTTAGCCTCCTGAGTAGCTGGGACTACAGGCATGTGCCACCATGCCCAGCTAATTTTTTCTATATATATTAGTTGGCCAATTAATTTCTTTCTATTTATAGTAGAGACGGGGTCTCGCTCTTGCTCAGGATGGTTTTGAACTCCTGACCTTGAGTGATCCGCCCGCCTTGGCCTCCCAGGGTGCTAGGATTACAGGCGTGAGCCACTACACCCGGCCTATTTTATGCTTCTATTATTTAAAAAAAAACCTCTCTCCTTGAAGAAAGTGTAACAACTCCTGAATTATAAATTTAACACCAACTTTACAGATTTACTTACAGGGAAAATATAAAAAGATGGTTATAAAACACGCTCTCTTACAATAATTCATCAAAGGCTTTAGCTATGATCTTATATAGGGACTTTGAAATTTAATTTCTAAAATAAAGAAAAGCCTTATTTTTTCTTAATACCATCTGTTAAACCATTCCAACATGAACTAAATCTGCTACACAAAATTTGAAAATAGACTAAAATTGAAAAATCTTAGCTGCTTCATGTTAAAGTACAGATTCAGGCTGACCTAGTAATGTAATGTTAGGAAGCTATGCAAACAGTCAGTATTCAATCTTTTACAGAAACCACACAACACTAACAACTATTCATCATAATGAAAACATTACAGTTAACTCATAATTGTCCATAAAGAAAATTACTCCGAGGTCTGAGAGCTATTCTCTGCTAATACGGGTCCTTGAGACTCTCAACTCAGTGGGCAGTTTCTCAGCTAAGCTGGGGACAATAGGACAACTGGGACCAGTGGGATTTGCAGCTGCTCAGTGGCCAGCCACTCGGGCATCAGTGATGTAGCAAATAGTTCTCCCACCTGGAGACAAGATGTTTGCCTAGCCAGGTTTTAAGGACCAGGAGCCCCAAGCTGCTCCTTTGTGGACAAACATGAACACCAGATAGTAATGAAAATTCTTAAGAAATATACTGTCACTCTTCTAGCTGGGCAGATTATCTAACTTCTACTAAACCACAGCTATGCCTTCCTTTGGTAGGCATAATCAATAGCATCTGCCCACTTGAGTGAAGCAAGAGATAGCACCATATCCAAATCTCAATTACTTGGCTTCTTGAGTCAGTTTCTGCAGTTGTTATGGGCTAAAGAGGAACTGAAGCTAAAGTCCCTAAACAAGGAGCAGCTATTAAGAATTAATTAGGATCTTTATTACAGTCTTTGGACTAGTTGTGAGAGTTGACTGCTGGCAAGGACCATGATTGTGAGACACCATTAACTGATGGTAGTCTAGGATACCAAATGTATTTCAAACATATTTGTGAAAAATCAATCAACTTTTACTAGCAGGCAAAAATAACTATAATTAACTGAAACCTCAATTCAAGCAAACACTATTACTGAAATGCAAATGTAGTTTCATTTAATGTACTTGTTAATAGTTCATTGACATTAAAACAATGTCTTTAGCCTTAACAAAAATGGAACAATTGATTTTTCTGGTTTGTTAATTGATTCAATAAGTATTTACTGACTACATATTATGCTCCAGGATGACGCTGGGAAGCCAGTGATGAGTAAAAGAGCCCCAGTCTCTGCCAAAAAGGAGCTTATCACTCTTAACTTTAGAATAAGCAACGGATTCAACTTTTAAAATAAACAAGAAGAGATTTCTCACTTCAATAAGGACTAAAAAATGAGGCTGCCTATATAACACTCTTTAGAGATTTTGTAATTTTTTTGTTACATTCTAGTATTACATGTTAATGCTGATACTCGAGATAATGCCTAAATACAAAAAAAATTGTGAAGTTAGGGAAATACTATACATTAAGATATTTTATGAAATTCAGAATGTTAACAAAGATATAGTAAAATAGAACTTGATGTTTAAAAGAATCATCATAATCTAAAGATAGATTTTCCTCTCAATTACAAGACTATGACCACATATCTTGCATACTGGTAAAATTTCTCTTCTCAATTTCATATCTAACAACAGAGAACCTTTTGTCCTTACTCCTAAGCAAATGGTAGTTGAGCACCAGAGGCTCTTGGCTACTTAATACACTTAAAAATGAATTAAGCATGCAATGTTGCTTACCTTGTAATCTCTGGATACATTTTCTGATGTCACAGAACCTGAAATCTGACTAGAAATTGTAGCAGCTATAAGCTGTTTACACCATTCAACATGTGATCCTGTAGGACTAAAAGAAACAGAGTGATTAAAAAACTTTAAAATATAGGCTTTTGGTGAGAAAAATGAGCACTGAATAGGAATATATGCACATTTTTTTTAGATTAATGAACTTTTATTAGACTATTTGGTTACCTTTACATTTAATATAAGAATCAAAATAGTGACTGACAAGTAGGAAGTAAGATTAGGTTCCAGGTTAATTTTAAATGAATCAACCATTTTTTTCCCCAAACAAGTATAAGATTCTACTTGTTAGACAGTTCAGCATGTTATTCTCTATCATTTATTGGAATTTTACTCTATTACAATTATGTGGAAGAAATATTCTTAATATAATATATAGAGAAAATTAATTCTAAAGCGAAATATTTATCTTACAGCATACAATTTTCAAACATTCAATCAACTTTGTACTGGTAGTTTTAAATCCAGAATATAGTGGACTTTTGAGTGAACGAAAGTGACTCTTAGTGGAGTAAAGTTGATCATGTGATTTTATAAAGAACAGACTAGGCTGGGTGCAGTGGCTCACACCTGTAATCCTAGTACTCTGGGAGGCCGAGGCAGGCGGATGGCTCAAGGTCAAGAGTTCGAAACCAGCCTGAGCAAGAGCGAGACCCCATCTCCACCAAAAATAGAAAGAAATTACTTGGCCAACTAAAAATACATAGAAAAAATTAGCTGGGCATGGTGGCGCATGCCTGTAGTCCCAACTACTCGGGAGGCTGAGGCAGTAGGATCGCTTGAGCTCAGGAGTTTTGAGGTTGCTATGAGCTAGGCTGATGCCACGGCACTCACTCTAGCCTGGGCAACAAAGTGAGACTCTGTCTCAAAAAAAGAAAAGAAAAAATGACATTCTATGTGTAGTATTAACACTACCTTATATTTCAGTAAGTGCTTTCACAATTTACAAAAGGTATTCTAGTTTTTATTATATCAGAGCCTCACAACCATAGTGTGACAAGAAGGCAGAACAGGAACTAGCCAACTTGTTTTTGAGAAGAAAAACTTGAGGCACAGAGGTGATATGCCCTGTTAGAAAGTGGCTGTCCTTCCAGGACATGGCACAACCAAGAGTGGCTTATTCACAGAGCTGAAGCCAGCAGCACAGATGCTAGTCAATCACCTTATATGAAAACACAACAATGCAAAGAAAAGGGTGTCTTCCACTTCCACAGTGTTCTGAAGTGTTCAAAGCATTTCCACACATGTAGCCTTACCCAGCCCCACAATGACCCATTTTACAGATGAGAAAACCGAGGCTCCAGTTTTACTCAAGGTCACATGACTGGCAAGTGGCCAGGCTTTGCTCACTTGACCTAAAGGACAACAAAAGCAAACTAGACAGTGAGAGAATTAACAATTGCCCCTAGGGGCCAGGCTCCTATCTCAATTTGTCAAGACACTGAAGAAATCAAGCTGGCAGGCAAAAGACACTTACAAAAATTTACCTTGCAGGTAGCTCTCACTGTAAATAATGTTTCAGGCCCTTAAAAAGTCACATCACTAATTAAATCCACACTCACATATTTGAAGGACAGAAACACCTGGAATCCCCAGGCAATAATGCAAAATAACCTAAAAAATAAAATAAAGAAAACTGATGTTCTGTACTAGTGATCTAAATTACAGTCTCTAATCAAGACAGCCCAGAGGTTATCTGTGTGGTTGAAAATATAAGTAAAAACACTTGCTGAGTGGGTAGAAATTCCTATCATATGCCAGGAATCTATTTACCAATCTATTCAAACTAAGAGAGAGAAGAAAGGAAATGGGAGAAATCTGAGTTTCCTTTTTAAAAGTTAAGTCACCTTTATTGCCTGCTTATATCATACTTTTCTTGTCATAATGCTTTTTTCTCTGTCAGCACCCACCCAGCTGCATATAGGAAGAAACTTCAGAAACCCAGCAATTGACCATGAGTGACCTGTAATTACCATCTGCCCAGCATCCCTTCCCCCTTCTTCTGATAAGGACAACCCTGGCTCCAACTGTGCTCATGGCCATCTCTCCTCTTATCTGGAACAGTTATGTAAACCAAGACATCTCCTTTTGGCTTAAGCTAGATTAAGTTGTGTTTTTGTTCACCTGAGACTGGAAGCATCCTGGCCAATGCAGTTACACATAGTGTGGAGTAGTGGGCTAGTAGATGGGAGGCCTAGATGCAAGTCCAACTTTTGTCACCAGCTAGCTCCATGACCTTCAGCAAAACACATCCTCTTACAGTACTGCATTCATCATCTTTAAGAGAAGTACAGTATTCAAAAGGGAGATGAGGGCTCCACAGTCCGGGGGCATGGCCAAGCCACACCAGTAGAGCCAGGCTCCACCCTAGGGGTCACTCTTCAAAGAACAGCATGAATCAGAGCTTGTCGAGATCCCAGAGCTGAGAAGAGAGGCCATGTTTCCTCTTCCTCTCTGTCTCTCTTCTTTGTAGTCTGTGCAATTGCCCTCCACACTCCTAGCATCAGCAACCACTTGCAGACTGGAGGCTCCCAGATCTATTTCTTCAAGCCGGACTCTCCCAAGTTTGATGCCGACATTCCTATAAGACATCTCCACTAGTCTGGCCCAGAGACACTACCAACTCAAACTGTCTATACCAGCATTGGCAGCTCAACCCTGCAACTTAACTCAGGGCAAAGCACAGCCAGTTATCCAGCCACCGAAGGCCCAAAAGACAGGATTTGCCTTAGAGTTCACCTACTACTTCTCCCCACATTTGAATGCTCACCAGGTCGGATCTCCCTTACCTGCTAAGTATCTTGAAAATCCACCCTGCCCTACTTCTAGTCCAATTCCCTTTTCCAGACCTCTTCATTCTTCTGAGTACTCCACCTGCCTCATGAATTTAAGCTACATTTATGTGCCAGTGACTCCACAATTTAGGTTTCCAGCCCAGATGCCACACCTGAACTCCAGGCTTATATAAACCTACTGCCTCTTTGACATCTGCTCTGGGAGATAATTGGCATCTCATACTTGATATGTCCAATGTGAAGAGCCTGCTGTTTCCTAACCCTGCTCCACTTGGAGAGACTTCTCCATCTCAGCAACACCTTTTTTCCACAAGCTAAATGCCTGTGAATACTCCCTGCTTCTTCTCTCATACCCAACAACCAATCTTCAGGACACCCCACTGGCTCTACCCTGCAGGTCTTCAAATTATATCTAAAATGTGACCATGTTTCCCCTTCTCCACTCCAACCCTCTGGGCTAAGCTGCCATCCTCTCATTTATCCTACAACAATAGCCTCCTACCTATTAGTCTCTCTGCTTCAACTCCTTCCCCTCTATTGTCCACACAGCACCCATGCAGAGCCTACTGAAATCTACAACAGATTACTCACTCCTCTGTTCCAAAGCCCCCAATGGCTACCCATGGCCTCCAAGGCTCTCCCTCATCTGTCCCTGTGACTTCTCTGACCTCATCCCTTGCTTCTCCCTCCCTGCTAGTGGCACCTTGTCTCCTTGCTGATCCTTGAACACTTCACTCACACTCCCACCCCAGAGCTTTTGCACAGACCTCTGCCTAGAATGCTTCTCCCAAGATACCTGTATGGCTGGATCCCTCACCTCTTGGAGGCATTACTCAAATATCACCTTTCTCTGCCTTTTCCTGATCTTCAAAAGCTCTGAAGTAAACCAGACTATAAGGCATATTTTGGGATGACATACTCTGGTTTCCTTCAGCTTCTTCAGTAATTCAGATGCATGCCCCATCCTCAGTACTTCTGTGTTCTACCTCTACCCTAGCAATTATCACATTCAATTTCAACTTTTGGGTTGTTCATATTCTCCACTAGATGGTAAGCCAGACAGCAAAAGCCATCTTGTATTATTCTCTGAATCACCAAGACCTCATACGTTGTTGAGTGTCTGCAAACGAGTGACATCCTCTCCATTCCAAGTGCTGTTTTAGCTGTGACTGGTTTTCAGCGAAGCTAATCACTTGGGTGATTAATTTATTAAAATATGTTGTAATGACACTGAGGTGGAAACAAAGTGAGGGAGTGTTTCTTGTTGTTCCTGTGCTTTTGGAAACTCCCAAATGTTCAGCACACTGGTATGACTAAGACAGGCAGGAATGAACATCTCTGACTGAGCTATATTACAACAGTGTCTGTTGCCTAAGCACAGTCTAGTGTCTGGTAAGTGGCCAAGACGTGGGAAAACTGGATGTCCCGGCTATAGAGTAAGCCATCCCTTGTCCTCAGAGGATGGGGTGGCCCTTCCCAGTTGGACATGGTCAGTTTATGCTTTTAACTGATTTCTCTTAGTTCTGCAACTGCCTCTAACGCAGTAGGATTGCTTATGAGTTCATGAAAATAAACCGGTTCCTTCAAAGTGTGAAGTATTGAAAGAATACGATTCTGGTTTTTTGACTCGTGAGCAGTTTGGAAGTTTTCCATCCCAGTTTTTCAAATCAGAGTATCTTTGCCTTGATCTGCACCAGGTCCCATGCTCGCGGGGTCCGGTCCCCCAGTCCCCACTCCCAACTTCAATATCAAAGAACCCAAACAGTAGCAATGGGATTTGGGTTTTAAAACAACAAGAGGCGAGGTGATGCTAAAAGAAGAGAGCGGGGGTGAAATTCCACCCCAACCTCCCCCTCCCTCTCCCCCCCCCCCCCCCCCGAGGATTCGTGGCCCCGGCAAGGACAGCCAAGGGGTCGCCAAGGGCAGTAGGAAGAGGTACGGAAGTGGTTTAACAGCTCCGAAGCCCCTCTTGGGGTAGAGGAGGTGGGCTTACAGGGCGGAAGTGAGCCAGGTGCGCGGCCCGAGGCAGGTCGGAGGACAGCTGCCAGCCGAAGGGGGTGCCGGGTTTCTGGAGGGTGGCAGAGGAAACGGTGGAGGGGCCACCTATCCCCACTTCAGCCCGGCCATGCGCGGCGTGCGGGGAGAGGGCGGCCAGGCCTCGCGCGAGGCCCTCGGGAGTAGGGGCGCGGGAGGCCGTGGCGGCCGGGGCCCTGTTTACCTGTCCAGGGCCTCCACGCTGGGCTGCCGGGAGCCGGCGGTGGCGCCCCCCACGGCCCTAGGAGGCCTCCTGCCGCCCGCCGGCCCCGAGTTCGGGCCCCCTCCGCCCTCGCAGCCCGCCGCCGTCGCCGCCGTTGCCGCCGCCGGCCTGTCCATGGCGCGCCGAGCCCTGCCGCCACCGGGAAGCCACAGTCCGGAAGGGAGCGGTGGCCGGGAAGATTCCACCGCGCGACTCCTACAGCCCGGTTTTGCCGCCCGCCTCAGGCGGTCGCCGCCATTAGCTGTCACCTGGCGGCCCCAGTTACCCACAAGGCCCCGCGAGCAGGGGTCGGGGCGGGTGGGGGCCGAGGGCGGGGGCGTGGAGGACGGCGCGCGGGGCGGGATCTGGGTACCCCCAGCCCGCCACGCCCCACCTAGGCGCCCGCCGGAAAAGCCTGAGATTTGGGGGCTAGGCCATCTTGCTTGGGCGACCTGGGCACGTACCAAGGCGCTGGGGTTTGGAATCTCCAAACAAATTATGCATAACGTGCCTTGCTCTATAGTCAAACCAGGTTGACTGTAGAGATATGGGATGTACAAAAACGTTTGTGGAAATTCAAGGATTAGAAATTATTTTCCTAACAAAATACCATAGAATAGAAAAAAAAAAAAAAGATGTTTATAACAAAATACCATAGAATAGAAAAAAAAAAAAAAAAAAAAAAAAAAAAAAAAAAAAAAGAAATTATTTTCCCTCTCAATTGTCCTTCCCAGGAAAGTTTTAGGTTAGGGACAACCCAGGCTCCCTGGGTGCCCCTGGTCTTAATATCGTGAAGCACTGGCAATCCCATGCATTTTAGCAATCCTTCCACATCCTATTCTTGCCTCCACTCCCCTCTCCCCACCCACACATTCGCAAACCCTCCTCCATGCCATCTGTAGGGCAACCAAGTGTTCTGATGCCGCCCTCAGAACTTCTGGCCTTGGTCGATGTTAAGAGTAATATTTAACTTCTCTTGATTAGAAATCACTGCTAAAGTATTTAGGACATTTGCTTCCTGGGCTGGATTTATTTCCTTGCTTATTTTGTTTGGGTTGCAATAGCCATCAGCTCTCCCTTCTCAGCTCACCCTTGATTATGTTGGAATTGGGAATCATGACAGCCTCTTTGCTTGTGATTGCTCTGGGTAGGAACAGGAGTCCTATGACCCAGGCTGGCTAAAGACATATAAAGGAAATAGTATACTTCCAGTTAAAAGACAGACCTGCACACCTAAGTGGACACATAGGTACTACAGTAATAGGGTATTGGGCAGGTGGGAGGGGGGAGGGGGGCGGGTATATACATACATAATGAGTGAGATGTGCACCATCTGGGGGATGGTCATGCTGGAGACTCAGACTTGTGGGGGGAGGGGGGAATGGGCATTTATTGAAACCTTAAAATCTGTACTCCCATAATATGCCGAAATAAAAAAAAAAAAGACAGACCTGAAGACAGGCAGTTACTTGTGCCCATCCCAGACCCATCCTGCCCTACCAGCTTAATAACTTCAAACCACACCTTGAAGACATGATGCCTGGAGCCCTGGCAGCCATCTTACACCCAAGAGGGGCTGACCCTGGGCTGAAAGATGACAGGGTGAGAAGGGCTGGGAGGAAGGAAAGGAAGAGCTCTAGACACACTGGAAAACCACCTTCTGCAGTCTTCTGGTTTTCCAAAATTATTAAATCAAATGGTTAACCCATTGTTATGGACTGAATGTGTCCCTCCTTGAATTCATATGCTAAAGCCCTAACTCCCAATGCTATGGTATTTGGAGGGGGGTGGGCATTAAGAGGTAATTAGGTAATAAGGGTAGAGCCCTGGTCTGATGGGACTCATGCCCTTGTAAGAAGGGCCACTAGAGAGCTTGATCTCGTGCTCTCACATGCACACACTGAGAAAAGATGGCCAAGAGGGTGGCTATCTGCAAGCCAGGAAGAGAACCTTAATCTTGGACTTTCCAGAAGAGTGAGGAAATAAATTGCTGTTTTTTAAGCCTCAGTCTATGGTATTTGTTATAGCAGCCTGAGCAAACTAATACACCCACTTTTAGTCAGGTATTTTGTTATGAGTAGCTGCAAGCATCCTAGCTGCCCTGAGATTTTTCAGAAAGAAAACAGTGCAATTTTAAATATAGTTTAAGTACCATATTCTTCAAAGAGGAATTCACTGTGACACTATCAGCACACTTAGGATTTAGGGGACAGAGATGAATCTGACATATACCTGCCTAAGATGTTCACAATCAAGTGAAGGAAACAGATAAATTAACAATGATATTACAAGTTGGTAAGTGCTGTTATGGGGAGAAATTGCACAGGCTATGGGAACACCTACTCCTCCAATCTATGGGAGAAGAGGAAGTCAAGAAGACCTCCTAGAAAAGGTGACATAAAGCTGCATCTTAAAGGAGGAGCAAGCCTTTGATGAGGTGAAGAAGTCAAGTCATAGCAGGCAGAAGGCACAGTTTTGGACAAAGGTGTGAAGTAGGTTAAACAGCTTATTATGTGTAGGAGAACTCAAAGAAATTTAGTGTTGCTGGAACATAAAGTCAGACAAGACAAGTGAGGATCTGGAATGTCTGGAATGTTAGGTTAAGAAGTTTGGGCTTTGTTCTGTGGTTCAGTGGTTCTCAAAGTTTAGCCACTTCGGTACCAGTGTTGCGATAGCCACAGATGAATGTGCACAGCAACTTTAGCTGACAGCCATGATATGACTTTTCTAACTTTTCATTTATCAAAATAAAATTGTGAACATTTAAAAAGAATGTAATGAAAACATATATGTTACCTATTCTGATGTACATTACAAATAAAGCTGCCTGTAAAGTAAAACAAGCTTTCAGTGCTTTAAAGCTTTCCTCATCACACAAGATCAAAACGAATTCGTCGTCAATGCACAACACAAACTATCATGTGGACTATGAGTGCCAGCTGTGGGCAAGGTTTCATGGCCAGTGAGTGCCGTACCAAAGTGGTTAAGATGCAAGAATCATCCCCAATCTGCCTTTTTGGCAAACGCTCCAGGTGCTTCTGATGGTCACTGCTCTTGGAGAAATACTACTATATAGTACACCTGTGGTGGATTGTGCTTCCAAAGACAGCTGCAGTAATATCCTACATTTCACATGCCTTTTTGCAAGATGACCTTGTTACTCACATGTCAAGAAGTGGAGTCTATTTCCCTTCCCCTTGAATGTGGACTGGCCCTGTAACCTCTTTGACCAATAGAATGTGGCAGAAAGTGATGTCATGTAATTGCCAAAGCTAGGCCTTAAAGCAGGGGTCCTCAAATTTTTTAAACAGGGGGCCAGTTCACTGTCCCTCAGACCATTCGAGGGCCGGACTATAATTAAAAAAAAAAAAAACTATGAACAAATTCCTATGCACACTGCACATATCTTATTTTTGAAGTAAAAAAACAAATGGGCAAAAACACCCGAATGTGGCCCGCGGGCCGTAGTTTGAGGACGCCTGCCTTAAAGGATCTGCAACTCCACTTCGGCTTGCAGAAATACTCCTTCTTGGAACTCAGCTGCCAAGCTATGAGGAAGCCCAAGCAGCCATGTGGAGAGGCCCATGTAGAAGAGAACCAAAGCTCACAGCCAACAGCCCCAGCTGAGTTCCCCAGCCAGCACGGCCAGCAGCCAGCCCTTACTGCCAACCATTTGAGTGAGGCATTTCACCCCTTCCAGCCATCCCAGTGGCCTGGCTAACACCATGTGAAGCTGGAGAATCATGTAATTGACCCACAGATTTTTGATAAATAAACTATCATTTTAAGCCACTATGTTTGGGGGTGTTTTGGGAGCAGCACTAGGAGCACCCAAGCACTGTTCTTGATGACTGGTTCGATCCCCCACCTGCTCAACTCCTTTCCCCACTCAGCTGGGAATCCATGAACAAATCATAGCCACCCTCTAAGGAGCCATTCCACATTGTAAGGTCAGAATCTGTTATGTGTCTGAGATTTTACCCTAGTAGCAAGCTAAAACTGTAGCTAGTTGCCATACTCTGACACCCTGACAGAAAACATGAGGTCCCTGGGTCAGAAACAAAGATGGTTTATTACAGCAAAAGCAGCAGCCAGAGCAATGTCTTGGACTGAACCCAAGTCTCGATGATGTGACATTCTTTGCAATGCAACCCCGCCACTCCTACATCAAGAGGTGGCATTCATTTCCTCTCTTCTTGAATGTGAGCTGACCCTGTAACGTCTTTTGACCAAAAGGGGGCCAGATAGTATCTGCATGTGCAATGGGGTGCGTCACAGGGGAGGAACCTCCAATTTAGGGAACTCTGATCTTGTATTGGGCTGCTAGTGACCTGCCTATTCTCCCCCCGTGAGAGAGTGATTACTCATTACCTTAAAATGCAAGCAGATCTTCTCTGCAGTGATTCACCTTTACTACCCTAGATTGGCTCCAGGAAGGGAGACATCTCAAATGGCTCCTCATACCAACTTTCTTAACTCAGCTGCAAATGCATTTGCTCAGAGGCCCATGACCATGCATAAAAATGAAATAGTCATGGAGAATTGTCTCCCAACACACACATGGTCCCCACCACCCCCTTCTGCCCTGCAAGGCCCATGTGGAGGTCTCTCTATAGTTGTTGGGTTGATTTCTGCATTCCAAGAAATCACTCTAAAGGGACAAGCACATGGCTTCTGAATGCCACCTGGAGCTGGAGTTGTGTGCTAGGAGGAAAGTGAGGAATGAAGTTTCAGGCCCTCCCTCTTGCTCACCAGGGGATAGTCAAAGCCTCGTTTGCCCTCCCCTCTGCACTCCATAGTCCCTGCTGGGAGAGTGGGAGATGTTTGAGTGTATGCTGCCATGTTTATGAAATATTTATGCAGTATACTGTTAAAGGTAGTAGGTTTCAAAATCACATGCATAAAAATGACTTGGGACACTCATTAATATGCAGATTCATAAGCTTCACCACAAAAAATCTGAAAATTCAGTAGCCTGGTAGGCCAGGTGCTGAGAATCCACATTTGATTAAGTACCTCAAGTGATTCTGATACAGATGGTCTGAGGCCCACTCTTTGGGAAACCCTGTTAGAGGTGCCAAAGAGCCATAGCAAGACCCTGGAGAGGGGAGAACAGATCATATTTACTCGCCAGAAAGATCCCAGGCGTTGCATGATGGAGGATGGATTGAGGGTCAAGAGTGGCTGTGGGAAGATCAGTTAGGAAGACCTGGTGCACGAGGGCCAGGCTTTGGAGACGACTCAGTGACTGATGCACTGCACAACCTGGGCACAAAGTGGGGAAGGAGAAG